CCTTCGATCTTTTTCGTTCATGCCCTCATAAAATTGTTGAAGAAGTAATTGTTCGGGATGTTGTGTTGAGGACAACTTGTACACAAATTGTTGAATCGCTCCCAGAAATCATGAAAAGTCTCATTCTCCCCTTGACGAATCCCCAAAATGTCACTTCTTTGGCTTGATATCCGGGAGGTGGGATAGAACTTTCTATTGAAGGCTTTAAGTAACTCTTCCCATGTGTGAATAGATCTCGGTGGTAAGTTGAATAACCACTCTCTAGCTTTATCTTCCAAGGTGAGCGGGAAGGCGGTTAACTTGAAATCATCCAATGTCACATGTTCGGGCAACATGCTAACACATATCATATGAAAGGACTTCAAATGCTTTTGAGGATCTTCTCTATCCAAACCATGGAACTTGGTAAGTTGATGTATGAAACTTGACTTCAATTCAATTCCTCGGCGGTTGGCGGGATAAACAATACCAAGGGGTGTGTGAGTAACATCCATCTCCATCATTTGTCGAAGTGTCAACTCTTGAGGGAGATTGGGTGGATTGGGGTTATTGGGATATTGGTGCATGTAATTGGGAGGTTGTTGGTAAGGTGGGTATGGGTATTGTTGGTGATTGTACATTTGTGGTGGATAAGGTTGGTAGTTAGGATATTGGTTGTAGGGAGGTTGTTGTTGTGGGTACATTGGGTTTTGGTACATTGGAGGTTGTTGGTAATTGGGTTGATTTGGGTAATGTACTTGTTGTTGAACTTGAAAAGCATTAGTTTGAGGTTGGTTGTTTTGGTGGAATTGTTGGTTTTGAGGAGGGGCTTGATTCCAAGGTGGCATATCTATGAGAGGTTCTTGTTGTTGTTGTCTTGGTTGTTGGGGTGGGGTATTGGAATCTTGATTGTTTGGGTTTGGGTTGGGATTGTGAGGTGGAGAGTGATTCATGGCTATGTAGTTTTCAAACAGAATCTCTTCAAAGGAATGACCAACAATTGGAGAACTCGGCTCGGTGTCGGTAGCACTTGAAGTATGAACTTGGTCTTCTATGTTGATTAGTTTTGAGAAGAGGAAGAAGCTTGAACGAGTTGTTGTTGCTTTGCTTGTTTGGGTAACTTTTTCAACCTTTTTGCTTCTTTTTCAATTTCCAGATTGTAGAGTAGTTCACCGGTTCTTGTAGACCTAGGCATAAACAATCAAATAACAATAACCAATTTCCCCGGCAACGGCGCCAAAACTTGGTGGGATGTCAAGTCCACCAAGCAAATTACACCATTTGTTTGCAAATAAAACGTAATATAATGGTAAAAAGGGGTATCGAACTTCGGGGAAATGGTTGCATTCAATTACTAATGCAATCTAATAGAACTAGTGTAGATAAACTAACTAACTACAATAAAACTAAAAGGGGGGTGTTGTGATTGCATGAAAACTAAGACCTGAATAACTAAAAAAAACTTGCAATTAAGCAAGATGACGAGATGCTCAAATATTGGTGAGAATTGGTTAACCAAGGCAATTCAACACAATGAACATTTGTGTGTTTATCATTAGGATTCAACATGAAGCTTATCATTCATCCCAAATTGGTTATAGCAATCATGAAGCATGATATGCCAAGATTCCTCATAGATAGTATGGAGGTTGGGGAAGCCCACAACACACCTTCTTAATCAAAATTAAAGATCCAATTGAAGCAATTGAACCCAAGAAGTTGATTAGCCTTAAGAATGAAGGAATCCCCAATTCCTAGAGGATGTCAGTGCTTACACATCCATAAAGGAGCTATGATTCATAAGCTAGAGATGATTTCTACCATCATAAAGCTCTTGTTCTAAGTAAATTCAATGATTCAATGCTAAAACCAAAGAAATAAACCAACAATTGCTTATTCAAGTACCAAGCTCATGATCAAAGCATTAAATAAGCATAGGAAATATGAACTAGAATCATAGACATAAGATAAATGATAAATAAACATGAATCCTTCAAAAACCCACAAACATTCAAAGGTTTTAGCCAAGGCTAACCAAAATAGAGAGTTTAGCCACTCATGGCAATAGAATAACAATCACAAAAGTCTAATTGCATAAAGAAACTACCATTAACTTGAAAAGATGAAAAGAAATGAGTCTCAAGCTCCAAAATCGCCTTCTTCTGGTCTCCAATGGTGAAAAATCGAAGTGATAGCTGATAGATCCCATCCCCCAAGGTAATGGCAAGCCAAATGACCAAAATGCCCAAAACTGGGCAGTTGCGCGGGTACCCGCGCGACCGAGATTCCACCCGCACAAGTGCTGCTGGAATGCTATTGGCTCATTTTTCCTCCATTAACCATCCCACTACCAAAGATTCCCTTGGTCCCCTCCATATCCCACATGATTCAAATTAACCAATCATCTTTTAGCTTCAAATATGGATGCTCCAAGCCTAAAATAACAATCCATGATCCATCTTCACAAGCCCACTTCATCCAAGTCTTTAGCCTTTTTAAGTCAAAATCTCGTTTAATGGATCCGCAAAGCCCAATAATGCATCGGAAGCCCATAAAGCCCATTTCCAAGCTAATCCATAACCGCAACAAGCTCCAAAACCCTGCAAAATACCTCATGCAACATAAAAAGCACCCGGTATGATCCATAATGAAGAAAATAAATAAAATACAATGCAATAATGATAAAAAGAGCTAAAATACTAAAATAAACTAATAAAAATAAGGAAATAAAATAAGCTATCAAATCACCCCAAGCTTAAACCTAACTTGTCCTCAAGTTAGAACAAGACTAAAATGAGCTCGGAATGAGCTAAACTAAAAAGGAAAAAAGAAAGATATCATAGAACTTTGTCAACATCAGTCAACATGGTCAGAATTAGTCTTTCAGAGTTAGTGCGGTTCACAAAGATTTATCATTAGAAACGATTTTTTGGTACGGCTTGTTGTGAAGGCATCATTAAATTACAATTTTTTGATGCTCTATTTTATAAAATGCATCATTATAAATTTCAATTTTTTGTGCTATATTTTGAAGAGCGTATCAACTAAAACCTGACTATATCCGTTTAGGGTTTCTGTAAACACAAACATACTTCTTCTTGGTGGAGTTTCTCTACAACATAAATGTCTAAAAACTCAAAATATCTTCATTAATTGTTTCGATATCTTCATTAAAGGTAATTTTACTTTTACTGTACTTTTGATTTTATTCTACCTATTTTATTTATTTATTAAATAATTGTTTATTGTTATTTTTTTAAATTGATTTTTATAGATTATTAACATTTTTTACATTCTTTGTTTGTTTATTTTAATTTTCAGATGAATCGTGTTTATTGGATGTACAAACTTCACGTTTTTCTGAATTTTATATAGAGTGTGTTCGAACTTTTATTAGGGTTGTCGAAGCAAATCGCGTGAATAAAGGAAGTGGATCAATTTGTTGTCCTTGTAACGTTTGTAAGAACTTTAAAACATTTAATTGTACCGAAGAAATAGAGTATCATTTGTTGCAAAATGGTTTTGTGCCCAATTACACTTGTTGGTCAAGATATGGAGAAACACTACTTGATTGTAGCACATCGTCGAGCAATTTACATATTAATAATAATACATACAACAACAATTCATATGTTGATGATGATGATCACCATTCGAATGACCCTAATGACAATTTCAATGAAATGTTTGATGACATGCAGGCTAATATGGGTGATGTTGAACAAAAAAAATTACAATACCTATTTGAAGAAGCAGAAACACCGTTATATAGCGGTTCCAAATTTATGAAACTTCATGTTGTATTGAGGTTGGTAAACTTAAAGTTGAAAAACGAATGAAGTGATAAAAGTTTCACAAGTCTATTAGAGCTTTTGCATGACATTCTTCCGGAAGACAATGAATTACTCATTTCTACATACCAAGCAAAGTTAATGTGTCCGATGGGATTGAAAGTTGAAAGAATATATGCATGTCCAAATAATTGTATGTTGTATAGAAAGGAGTTCGAGAATAAACATAATTGTGTTTTCTGCGTTGCATCGAGGTATAAACGGAAAAGAGATTCCGAGGTTGACGATGATGTGACAAAAAATGGTCCGCCGGCTAAAAGGTTGTGGTATCTCCCTATTATACCGAGACTAAAAAGGTTATTTTCAAATGAAAAAGAAGCAAAGTTACTTTGTTGGCATTCGGAAGAACGTGTAACTGACAAACTAAGACATGTTGCGGATTCACCTCAGTGGAGAAACATTGATAAGAAGTATCGTGAATTTGGAAAAGAGATGAGAAACATACGGTTTGGGCTTAGTTCAGACGGGATCAATCATTTTGGGACGTAAACAATCCTCATAATACATGGCCGGTCCTTTTATACATTTACAATCTTGTTATTGTTATCTTGTTATCGTAAAGATAAAGAATGATCCTTTATAACAAACTCAATAAAAAAATGTAATCGGAATAAATGATCTCCGGCGATAATTAGTCTGCTGCCAATCATCAAAAAATCGACCAAAAAAAAGGTCCAATACCCACAAAGTTTACTATACGAGTATACGACAGGGATTTTTTTTTTCTTTTTTTTTTTCGGGAATAACTATATTATTATGAATGGCTAAATTAAGCTAGAAGACGTCTATAATGACTCACTTGCGTCGTTCACGCCGTTTGAAAAGTTATAACCAAATTGATTACTGAACATGCGTTCCCCCCCTAAACAGTTAATAAGTCCCATGCCCATTATCTTAATTTATCATTTTTATAAAACTCTAAAACAGTAAATCTAAATCGTGATATAACAAGTTAAATGCTTAACGACTCTACATATTTCGTAGGAGTTTCCCGTAGATAAAGCTATTACTGCAGTCACGAGAAGTGTCTTTAATTAAATAATCAACATTGATGTCGTTAATTTGTTCAAGAAAGGCGGCTTTCAATAAACGCGTTCGGACACCAGTTGACTTCACCAGTCCCCTACATGCATATATATTTATAATGACAGAGATCCCAAGACAGTAACACACCAATCCCAGAGATAATACATAATACATATACGACGACTATATCGATATGGCTATCATCAAAATGAAGAACGACACATCGAACTCTAAGGATGTGACCACTGCAGGCAAGGTGATTACCTGCAAAGGTAAATAGCATCATCTTTTCTCTATCTTATCGCTAAACACTAGTACCATGCATGCATGTAATCCTCATGATCGATATTTGATTTTCAATTCCATATATGCAGCCGCTGTGGCGTGGGGTCCTGGGCAGCCTTTGGTCGTGGAAGAAATTCTGGTGGATCCCCCACAGAAGATGGAGGTCAGAATTAAGATCCATTTCACTTCAGTCTGTCATACTGATCTGGGTGCTTGGCAAGGCAAGGTATTGATCATCCATTCATCACTCACTCCATATACATAAAAGCGCGTACGTCCAAGTTCCATATACAATCGAACTAGGCTTGATTCTTGATTTTGATTTGTATGCAGAATGAAGCTCAAAGAGTATATCCACGAATTCTTGGCCATGAAGCATCTGGGTAAGCTAGATTAATCTCAAAGCTAAGATATCTGCGTAGTTGTCGTTTTTAAAGTACTACAGAATTCATGACGTTTAGTGTTGCATTGTATCAATAGGGTGGTGGAGAGTGTGGGAGAAGGAGTGGAGGATATGAAGGTCGGAGATCATGTTGTTCCGATATTTAACGGAGAATGTGGAGATTGTGTTTTCTGCAAATCTAAATCAAGCAACCTTTGTAAAAAGTTCAGAGTGGACCCGCTTAAGAGTGTAATGACAAACGATGGAAAGACACGGTTTTGGACAAAACAAGGAGAACCCATTTACCATTTCCTCAACACCTCCACTTTCAGCGAGTACACTGTGGTTGACTCCGCCTGCGTTGTCAAGATCGACCCAAATGCTCTCCTCAAAACCATGACTTTGCTTAGCTGTGGCGTGTCAACTGGTCTCGGAGCCGCATGGAATACAGCCAATGTACACGCCGGATCCACTGTTGCTGTGTTTGGTCTGGGAGCCGTAGGACTTGCAGCTGTTGAAGGAGCTCGTTCAAGAGGAGCCTCCAGAATAATTGGGATTGATATAAACTCCGAGAAGCTCGCCAGAGCTGAAACCATGGGAGTCACCGATATCATAAACCCGTTAGAATTAAAAAAGCCAGTCCACCAGGTCTGTATACGCATGTAATTATTCTTGTAATATATATTTATACTTATTAGTAGGTAAAAATCAGAATCTAACTGCTAAAATACCTCAAATTTTGACAGGAAATTAGAGAGATCTCGGATGGAGGAGTAGACTTTAGCTTTGAGTGTGCCGGAAACTTGGACGTCCTCCGCGAGGCATTTCTATCGACTCACGAGGTAAGCTAAAACTCATGTATATAGGAAACATGGTGGAATGAAATAGCATCAAACTAAATGATTGATGGCTGATATGTCATGTTGTTATATATATACAGGGTTGGGGTTTGACAGTACTACTGGGGATTCACTCCAGTCCCAAAACACTCCCTCTCCATCCCATGGAACTATTTACTGGTCGGAGAATTATTGGATCTGTTTTTGGAGACTTCAAAGGGAAAACGCAGCTACCTCAGTTCGCCAAACAATGCATGCATGGGGTAAGTTGGTTTGTGTTCTTCATCGAATTAACTTGGCTTCCCTACTCTATATTTGCCAACTTTTAACGAGCATGACTAATTTTCATATGTTTGCAGGCAGTGAAATTGGATGAATTTATAACACATGAACTACCTTTCAGTGAGATCAACCAAGCTTTCCAGTTACTTATGGATGGGAAATCACTAAGATGCGTTTTGCATCTATAAACTATCCATCATATACTCTCTTCCAACATTCTTTCATGGAGAAATACCCATTCAGTTCAAATATAATATTTGTGGCTTTGCCATAATATATGTATTTAATTTATTTACTTATATATGTTATATACACCGCGACAAAATGTCACGAATGGAATGTAAGTTAGGCTCAAAAAGTTTTGCTCGAGTATATATGATTATAGGGTCAAAATGTTCAGGATGAGTGTTGATAAAGAACATCGATGGATATTGTGGACTTTACATAAAATAAATTAATTTTGTACTCTTGTTTATAAAATAACAATGAAATTGGCGATATCACAAAACTACAAATTTGGTCCGTTGGTTTGCAGAGAGAATGGAACATGTTGAAAAGAACGGCAAACCATATATATATATATATATATATATATATATATATATATATATATATATATATATATATATATATACACAACAAAAAACCTAGCCTTTAGCGGCGACAAAAGTCGTCGCAAATACCGCCGTCTCTATTGATATTCCGACCACCGGCCAGAGTTTTTCCGGCAAAGCTTGCCGGAGTTATGTGTCGTCGCAATTAGTCCACGTAGTCCCTAAAGGTGTCGCTGCTAATGTTTTTTTTTTTTTTTTTTTTGAGAAAAAACATATTTTTTATGATATTAGTTTATATCATAAAATGCAGATTTGATAAAAATACATAAATAAATACATACCACATTACATAAAACATCAAACATACCATATTACATATCTAATAAATCCTACATAAACATCTAATATATAATCCATAAACTATCTAATAAATCCAAAATAACATCATCCTACATAAACATCTAATATATAATCCATAAACTATCTAATAAATCTAAAATAACATCATCCATAACATAAAACAAGAAATACTATGTTTCTTCGTCTTGGTCTTCCTCATCATTGTTTTCCTCGTTGTTGACTTGGTTTTTAAAGGAGCGGATAATGTCTCCAATGGCCGTCACAAATGCCGGGTTTTCATACATATTCACACATACATATTTGCATATTTTTTATATAGCATCAACCAAAACAACATTTTTGACATACCAATTTCACAACATCACAACAATCATACCAATTTCACATCACAAAGTCAAAAGTTAATACCAAACAAAAACAATTTCACATATATATATATATTCATAAATTCAAACCATCAAATGCAATTCATACTAATTTGACATACCAGACCAAAACAAATGAAGTTCATACCAATTTCACAGGATCAAAGCTTCACAAAATCACAACAGTCAAAAGTTTCACATTCAATTTCTCTGGGAAAAAAAATGAACACAGTACCAATTTCACATCAATTTCACATATATATTCGTAAATTCAAACCATACTTGTTCTTGCCGGAAAAACAAAGCTACAATCGGTGGTGATTTGTGGCCTTCGAATGGAAGCTTAAAAACAGAAAAAAAAAAATCATTCACTGTTAGTAGTGATGTTTAATCGGCAATGGAGAAAGAGAAATGGGTAAGAGAAAACCAACCTCGCCGGAGATACAAGGTCGGAATCCGATGTGACAGTCGGCAATGGAGAGGTGGCAGTCGACGACAGTCGGTGGAGTCCGCTTTCGAGGTTAATTCGTGGTGGGAGTCGGCATTGGAACTCAATCAGCGGTGGGAGTCGGCTTTGGAGGTCAATCGGTGGCGGAGAGCGGTGTCGTCATGATTGATGTCTGAAATCATCGCCGGAGTATGTCAAAATCGTTACAGAGAAAAATGTGTTTGCGGTCGTGGAAGCTGAACTAAAGGGGCAAACCTTTAGCGACGACGTTAATAGCAGTGACCCGAACCCTATTAGCGGTGACCATCTGGAGGGAACTCAACGCGCCATGGACCGTTGGATTGGGCGAGAATCGTAGAGCCAAGATTTAGTCTAATGTTGGTCAACGGATCGATATCAATAGCGGCAACATGTCGCCGCTAAAGATGTCGTCTCAATTGCTTTCTACAAGAACAAACCCTATCTGTTCGATCTTGTTCCGAATCAAGGGTAAGGATTGAAAGTTGCGTGTCTCCGACGGATCTCCGGTCCAGACCTTTAGCGACGTCCCTATTAGCGGCGACACCAAGCGTGTCCTGTCTGGTGTCGTCGCTAAAGGATATGTCGTCCCAAAAAGCGGCGTCCCTAATACTCTTTATTCTTGTTGTGACAGAGTAAAGAACACAGAAAGTCAACACACACATACTCTCTACATAGTTTGGGTTTGTTTTTCAAAACTAACACATACCTAGGGATGTTATTCGGTCGGTTTTTCGGTTTTCGGTTTAATTGTTCCATTTTTTCAATTTTTTAGAATATTAAAACTAAACATAACCAAACCAAATAAGGTTTGGTTTAATCGGTTTTGGATTCGGTTAGTGTTTATTCGGTTCGGTTTACCGATCAAACCAAATTAAATTTCGCATGTAAAATTAAATATTAAACTAAAAGAAAAAAAACTTACTAAACTTTTACCAAATAAAAAAATACGTTAATACATCACATATTATATTCAGTCTTTGACGATATGTTGTCTTGAAGTATCAATGTAGTCATACAAGTTGTCGAAGCGAATTAATAAAAGCTTTACTCGTATATAAAGATGAATGAAATGGTCAAACCTTAATTAACATTTAGCTAATTAGTTGTTGTTTTTTAATACAATATATAAATAATTATAAACTTATAATGGTTAATAATTAGATAATGAGTTATCAAAATCTTTTTTAATAACTAATCCATCAATTTAAATAGAAAATGATAATTTATAGATATAAACTATAAATATAAATAAATTAAATAACTTATTTAGTTTTTTCGATTTAACCAAAATAATAAAAATTTAACCAAAACCAAACCAAATAAGATATCCTTATTCGATTAACCAAACCAAATTAACCAAATAACCGAATAACCTGAACCAAATAAACCAAACATCATTTGGTTCGGTTCGGCTATTCGGTTTCGAATTTTTATCACACCCCTACACACATACACTATAACATTTTGGGCTTCTTCCTAAAAAACACACACCTAAGAAATCCAATGTAGAAGCTCTTAGTTAAAATTCACACATACACACACCTGTACACCTTATAATTAACTACTAAAATATTCATCAACAAATCACTACAAATAATTGTATCTTATATCAATCCTTCAAACTTTTTTATAACACTGATCTAAATTTTTCACGTCGCTGACACTACAAGTAAAAGAGGCATTAACGGCGACAAAAGTCATCAGTAAAGGCTATATCGGTGACACGTCGCCGATAAAAAGTAGTTGGTACTGTCCTGTCACTATTGCTTAAAATATCGCCGGTAATATTCTTTGTCGCTGGTAATAGTACATGTCACCGGTAATAGTGTCGCCGGTAATATCATATTTCGTTTTTTTTAAATCAATACTTTTCCGGTGCAAAAAAACCGATACGTAACAACATTAAATGCAGAAAAAAAAATTACATAACGACATCGAATTAGGTACTAAAGTGTTATAATTCCATATACAAATACCAAAATAAACGACAAAAGTGTTATAATTCCAACAAGTACCAAAGCGTCACAACAAGTCTAACATACAAAACACAAACTAATTATTCGACGAACCAACATCTTCGTTCCCCTCGTTTCCTCCTAGATCATCACTTTGTGGTTTCCCCGATTGAAAAAACGCATAAAGTTTCTCCCTACACACTTGGTCGTTGAGCATTGCACGAAGATTTTCCAACTACATAATAAATAACAACATATATAAACTTATAAGTTAGACTATCAAACATAAACAAAAAACTACTAAAGTACATTGCTATTTCTTGTACTTAAATACAAGAAATACCAAAAGTACATTGTTATTTATTGCACGTGAGACATAAACACAAGTACCAAATCAACATGCATTTATTGATGCTAAAGTACATTGTTTTTTTTTAAACTAGTGACAAAAAACCAAAGTACAATGCTATTTCTTGCACTTGGAACATAAACACAATTACAATTACAATTACCAAATCAACATGTATTTATTGAACATTACATAGATATATGAGACTTTGAAATTAAATAGTCTTGTTTTACAAGAAATGGTAGCTTACTTTCTACTTATTTTGTGCAAAATAACCTTAAATACAAGAATTACCAAAGTACATTGCTATTTCTTGTACTTGGAACAAAAATATAATTACAAACTGAATTATGAAATCAACATGTATTTATTGATGCCAAAGTACATTGTTATTTTTAGACTAGGGACCAAAAAACTGAAGTACATTGTTGTTTCTTGTACTTGGAACATAAACAGAATTACTAAATCAATATGCATTTATTGATCATTATATAGATATATGAGACTTTGAAATTAAATAGTCTTGTTTTATGTGACATCCCCATTTTCACGGTTAGAAAATAGCTTTTTATTTATGCTTATTTTAAAACAGAGTTTGTTTATATTGCGGAATTTATCCCATAAAAAGTATATTCAAAGAAATATTTTTCATTGATTTATTAAAACTTGGGTTGTCATAACTAATACAAGAAACATAAGAATAAACGTAGTCATTACGGGCCTTACAATATCTTTTATACTATGGAATATATTTCCTCGAATCTCTCATCAGGTCCGAACATCATTATCTTTGTACTGCTTCCTGTGGTACAAAGAAACTGAGTGGGTCAGGTTGGGAAACCTGGTGAGTACATAGGGTTTTCAACCCATAATAATGTAGTTAATTTGTTTAATTATCTATTTCATATTAAACAATTAACCCGACTACCAATTCATATTATCTTCTTTATTCATCTATAGAGACATGTCTTAAGGACCATCGTTGTAAATGTTGTGGTTGTCATCTATATTCTGATAGATGACTACATCGTTAGTACAATAGTACCCGTTCCTACATCGTTAGTATAATTGCACCAGTTCTTGTATCGTTGGTACAATAGTACCGGTTCCTTCATCGTTAGTACAATAGTACTAGTTCCTACATCGTTAGTACAATAATACCATTAAAGTTGTGACATTCTATTATCATTTTCATCTCTCATTACCCTTCATTACCCAATGTATTATAGTCATGAAAATACATATACGGTATAAATAATATAAGATTTATCTTTATAACATTTCATCTAACACATAACATTTTTGCATATAAGCACATATATAATTTAATTATCTAAATACTTCATATCAATGTGTAAGATGAAAGTAATTATGCACTCATTTGTTA